AGTCCGTTCTGCTGCACGGAGCAGTTGTTGCGCCCAGGCACTGGCCGGCCACAACGCTCAGGGCGGTCTTTGCGTCACACGTGGAGCTTGAGAAGTAGTGCGGCATAAACCGCCAGGCAAGCCGTACGCAGCGAATGGAATCTGCACGATCACCTGTTGATGCACCAACCACGCACCGCCATGTGTAGGATTAAAAGGGATGAGAGATGGTGATAGCTCTTCGATATTTTTTTATGGCGGACAACCACGGACCGTATTGGGTGGACAGGCGATGTGGGCCGTCGCAAACTCGCTGTCGGTTTGCCCGCACACGAGGGTTTTCTCCTCCGGTCTGGTCGACGTCGCAGCGTGAGCCAGCACGAGCAGCACGGCCACGACGGACCAAGCAGCGGTGGCGGTGCTCCTTGTCATACTTGGTAGTGTTGTGCGCGGGTGGTTGGGCTGTGAATGCAACGGCTCGCAGCGTTTATTTCTTAACTTTTCGGAGCTACAAAAACCACCAAACACTTCCTGTAAGTCTCTCCCTGGGACTCCCCGGAACAACGGCCCCCGAAAGACGAAGTCGGGGAGCTTCACGAAGCCCGACTTCAAGGGCCAGCCGGTACAGGTCGTGCCTCAAAACGGGCGGCAAGTACGAAAAACCGCCCCAAGCGCAGGTGTCCGGCCTGCGCGACAACGAGGAAGTCAAGGCTCTCGTCAATGCCATCAATTTCATTTCTTCGAGAGCGTGGGCGTACCGCTCGTGCTCACGATTGAACTCCGCCACTACTCAAAGTGTATGTTGGGTGATTAATGAAAAGCAACATTAACAGGAAGGAATCAAGATCAAAATAGGTGGGAATGGATTCGAGCAACCTGGCCACCTTCACTGGAGCCAGGAAGTGTTAGCTTCAGGGCTGACAAGCCTGATTCTGGGCAGACACTGCAGTTAAGTGGGCATGCACACACTCACCACCAAAGGGCACTTCATGTCAATGGTTTAGATTGAGGGTGTGCTACATGGACTGGCCACTGGTGGTGGTGGCCATCATGGTGGGGTGGTGCTGCTCACTAGAAGAGGTGTAGGACCAAGGAACTGCAGAGGAGGCTGCGTGCTGCACACAACCACGAAGACCTCTTTTGGAAAGAGGGTGCGACAGCATTGAAGAACCAGCACCAACACAACAAAAAAAAACCAAAAAACCAAAAAGCCTTTTGAATTTATTCGTGTTCTTCTTCTAAAACGCCCAACAAGCCATGAAGCGAGTACAAGAAGATGATGAAAAGAAAACAGAGAGTGGCGGCTCTCCGTGCGCGCTGCGTCACCACAACGAGGCTCCCACAAAGAAAAAGGCCCGGCTCTCTCCCGACGAGAACGACGCCACAGCACCACCAGCAGCCGTGCTTAACGCTCACGGGGCGGCTTGTACGCTTGTGCTGAGCGATCTGCCAGACCTCGTGCTCTACCATCTTGTTCGGTTCGTCCACCCCCCTTGTTTTGTGTTCTTTTCCAGTAACTAATTTTCAAGTCCGAACCTGATCCACTGGTGGGGAAGGGAGCTGGCGGTGGGCGATGCGATTCGGCTGCGGGCCACCAGCTCCTTCTGGGCCGACCAGGTCGTGCGCAACCACCCGCTCGCCCGGTTCGTACTGGTCGATCTCCTCCCGCGCTTCGCCAGCCTCCCGCCACACCGCCACGACGAAGAAGACCGAAAGAACGAAAGCGAAAGCGAAAGCGAAACCGAAGACCGCTGCCCAATGACCAATGAAGAGGAGGACGAGGAGGATCTCGAGGCAGAGCTGGCCTGGATCTTAGCAGACGCCGCCGAAGCCGCCCGGCTCGCTGATGCAGAAAAGAAGCACCAACCGTGGGGTCGCCTGGGCAATCCCATGTTTTACCCCGGTATTGGCGGTCACGATGGCTACCAGGGTTTGGGTGTCAGCGGGCGTCGGCTCCAGCTGTCTTCAGAGGAGACGACCGTGTCGAGGAGAGTGGACGAGAGGTGGGAGCTGCTGCAGGCGGTGCGCATTGCGGCCGACGCGCGCCTCCACGAGCTGCGCCTGCGCTCACGCGACTTCTGGCGCGACGTCGCCTCCTCTGATGTGAGGCTGCAGCTCAGCGAGACCGAAGCCTTCTCTCTTGCCCAGGTTCGTAGCCACGAACTAATAATTGCAATAATACTGCAGAAAATTGGAAATATTGTAAAACTAATAATACTAATAATACTAATACAAAATTGTAACAATAATATGGCAGCGTGTGCATGTGCGAGCAACGATCGATCACAAAAGTAGCTCTTCCGACGCTATGATGATCACCTTCCTCAGGATTGATCTCCCGCGGCGGGGATCGTCTTCTACAGAAGAAACAGAGGTGATGATCGACTTCACCATTGTATGTCTCGCCTTCGCTTGTGCCCATTGTGTCGCGTGTGGTTGGCTCTGACACACACACCCTAACACATGTTACACTCAGGAATGCAACCATCATGAGCTTTGCTACATGGCGGTGTCGTGCACTTATGACAGTGGTGGTTTGGACGAATCTGTGAACCTCATGTCGGGTTCCCTTGAATTTGGTACGTACCTTGACTCTTCCAGGTGCTCTTGAGATATCGACATCGACCTACGCGACTAAGTGCTGCCCTGCTCGTGCGTGTCATGCGTTTTTCTGTGTCGTTGGTCACGTCATGTCGTGCGCGATTTCTGGCAACAGAAGCTGGGCCTCGGTTCAACAGTCAGGTGTGGCTCTATCTGGTGGCAAAGCTGGACGTCAACTGGACACCTTGGCAGTTCCGACCCACCCCCCTAACACTCTACATACCTCCAACTAAGCCCACATCATTGATGGCTACTGTGATGCAACAACAGGTTGGCGTCGTTTGTGATGCGCTGCGCCGATGGAGTTCCGCCCGCCTTGATCGACC